GCTCACGCTCACACCCAGGCCCACCCCCACCCCCACTCCCACTCCCACACCCACCCCCACCACCACTCACGATTGACTGCCACCCACTCCTTTGGATCGACATACTTTGGCAGCGCGACGATGGTCTTGAAGCTGCCCTTGATGAGCGCTGACCTCACAAACGGATTGCACATGTACAGCGCCTTGCCGTTCAATCCGACATTGTGACCTCCCGTCGCATTGGCCAGCATTTGCGCTTGCGCCGCTTCAAACGGCATGCCGGGCAGCGTGGGCGACTTTTTGGGCCGCGATGAGCGACCCATGGACCTGAAAAAGTTGGACATGGCAAGCGTGTGCCCCGCCTCCCAAGCGGCAATGACTCGTTTACCAGCGATGTCGAATGCGCAAAGATGATGGCTGGTGTGCGTGGGTGCGCGCGAGCCAAGGTGTGGTGAGCTGAGCAAGGCAGAGAGAGATACGTTCACGTGCTCATTTGATCGTTGTGGCCGTGCGGACTCACAGAATGATGATGAAGCAAGCAGCTTTGGGGTGATGGACAAGAGCGGCTGTATAGGGAACAGGTGTGGCCCTGCCCTGCCCTGCCCTGCCCTGCATCGCCGTGAGACGCCGCCCAGACGAATACTGTAAGTCGGTTTACAGCTTAATTCACGATTCACGATTGTATGAACTACCGCGTACCGTACTTACAATTTGACTAGCGCGCGCCCCCACGCCAGCGCGTGCGATGAGATGCACGCCCGCCGGCCATGCTTGCTGATGGATGCGGCACAGGACTCTGCGCACGTGACGCGTAACCATGTAGCTAGCTGTGTGGGCTGGGCTTCCTTGCGCGATGCGATGGCACAGCCAACAAGCTGTACCTACACTCGCCCGGCCCGGCCCGGCACTTCCAGACAGGTCGGCATAACCTTGATTGTGATTACGGTCCGCACCGCCACGCACATTTGGAAACAAATCGCCCATCATCATGATCGTGGCTTATTCACAGATTGGAACTGGGCCGGTCGGAGTGCTGGCAATCGCCTGAATCATGACAGACTCAGACTGTACGAGCCAGTTGCCGAATCGTGAGCGCGGCCTGAAAGCTGGGGAGGACGCACATGCACGAGGACGCACACGCACCCAAACAGCCGAGGAACCGCGAATGCACGCGGAGCGCGCCAGCCGTGAATGCACGTTTGAGCTCAACGGAAAGGCATGCATGCCATGCCATGCAGCAGCAGCAGCAGCAGCAGCAGCAGCAGCGCTAGCTCACCGCGCCCTGTGATCGATCTGACTCGCTCCGGCATCGCTGCGATGCTCGATCAACGTCGCGGCGGGTCAGCGTTTCCGGGACAATTTGGCTCACATGCTGCCCGTGCTGCATCGCCATCCATGCACGCTCTTCCACGACATGTGGAGCGCAATGTGTGCACAACACAGGCACTCGCTCGCTCACACAGCGCAATCTATTGCTCCACTTTTGCCCTGCCCGCTTAATTGTCACCTCTGTCTCTTTCATCTCCACCATCACCACAATCAGTCACGCTTGCTTTCCCCGCTCACATTCGCAATGCCATCCACCACTCCGTCCAGCAGCGCGACTGCGCCTCAAGGGTCGAGATGGAGTCGGTGGGGCAAGGCAGGTTTCGACAAGGTGAGGGAGCGCCCGCGCATACATGCCAGACTTGCCGCTCACATCATGGCGCTCCCAAACGGTCTCCCAGGGCATGAAGCTCAGCGATTGGGCTTCTGGCTATGCCAATGCGGCATCCGCAAGTGAGTACAATGCCGCAGTGATGCAGTGACGCTCGCGAGTACGATGCCGCAGTAATGCAGTGACGCTCGCCTCGGCTGACATACGCACGCACGCACGCTCCCTCGCTCCCTCGCGCACACTCGGCAGAGATTGGCGGCGAGCGGTTCTGGCCAAAGTCCAACGACATGGTGCTAGAGATCGAAAAGTGCGAGCGGATACTTCGCGCATTCACCGTGGAAGGCATACCTCAGACGGATGAAAAGGAAGAGGATGTCAAGGACAGCAAGGGAGGCTGGGTTCGAAAAAAGAGAAAAGTGCTCAAAAAAATTGTGAGGCAGGCAGGCAGGCAGGCAGGCAGGCGTTCGCTGCTCGCTTTGCTGTATACCTTGCTGAGCGTCTCCACTGCCCATGCGCGTGCACAGCCGCCAAACGCTATCAAGCGCGCCAAGGGAGTGTGCATATACTCCTCTATGAGATCGGGCATCGCGCCATTTGGAGGAGCAGGCGGTGCTGGGGTGGTCATGGCACGCTTGCCTGACGGAAGCTGGTCTGCTCCCAGCGCCGTATCTCCAAACAATCTATCAGCTGGCCTCTTGCTAGGCATCGACTTTTTCGACGTGGTGCTCCTAATCGTGAGTCACGCGTAAATGATTGCCGCGCCCACCTCTCACGCTTCCTGCTCGCCGGCCGCCAACGCAACAGAACACCGAAAAGGCAATGGACAGCTTCAGGACGCACAAGTTCACAGTGGGCGCCGAGACCGCAATCGCTGCAGGCCCCGTGGGTGCAGGCACGAGTTTGGAAGGCGGCATGGAGCGAGCACCGATATACAGCTAGTAAGTTTGGTCGCTACTGCACCTCGAGCTCAGCGCTTACACGATCGAGTGTATTGCCTAGCGTCCGGAGCAGGGGCATGTATGCGGGCGTAGAGATGATGGGTCAAGTCTTCATCGACCGTTTCGATGAGAATGAACGTTTTTACTATTGGCCTGGCATCAAAGCCGGTGGTGAGTCTTGCCCGCGCGAGTCTTGCCGGCGCGAGTCTTGCCAGCGCTCATTCCTGCGAGCCGACAAACTCACACGTGCCCGCTCCTCGCAGACATTTTGACTGGCAAGGTGCGCATGCCGCCTGCGGCCGCGGGACTGCATCGAGCACTTCGGGATGCAGAGGCTGGTGTTGCGCAAGGAGGCGCGCTGGAAAAGACCGTTTACGATGTCGTGCGCATCCCCGAGTCGGAGGTGATGAAGCGACTGGGCCCGCACGCTTCTCGCAAAGCCCGCTCCGCACCCGCCGGCACGACTGCCTTTGCGGAGACGAGCAGTCCGAGGAGTACAAATCCCTCCCTTGACGAGGAATCGCATGCGCCTTCCACAAGCAGCGTAGCAGGGCAGCCCTCCGAGCAACCAGAGCGTCTAGCGAGTGCGAATGGTGCAGCAGTCGATGAGCAAGAAGACGAAGAGGAGGATTTTGTTCGAGAGGGAGAACGTTTAAGACTGCCGCCAACGCCCCAAGAGTTAGAAGCGCTCGAAGACGCCGGTATTCCAGACGAGGAGGATCTCAAATTCGAGCAGCAGGAACGCGAAGCAGTGTACAAGCTGCCACCTCCGCCTATACGTGAGTGACGCCGCGCGCTGCACCACGCTGCACCGCCTGCCGCGGTCTGACCGATCAAGCCGCTCGAATCCGCACAGACCACAAAGTCGCATTCTTTCTCCGCACGCAGCCGACCATCGCTTCCAAGCGTCGAACATCCCAGATCGACATGGATGGGCCATACACGCCAGACTTTAGGAAAGCTCAATATACAGCTCTGCCGCCCTCGCCCATCGAGAAAGCCAGCGCAAGTGTGCCTGCAGCGAGCTCTGATCACTTGGATGAGGTGCAAGTATTAGAGATACCAGCTCCTCGTGCAACCGACACGCTCGGTTTGGAGAGGCATAGTCTGGCTGAGACGGTGCAGTCAGCGCCGCCCTACGAGTTGGCTTCCCAGCAGCCTCAAACTGCGCCAGTCAATGGAAGCTTTGATGCTCAACGCGGCCATGTTGATGCCTTTAGTCAACGTGCCGGAGAAGCTTCGCCCCGAAATGTCGTTGGAGAAGGCCTGAATGAAGCTCAAGCGGATGAATTGATCTCTCATCTAGTCGCAGAGCCGGGAGAGACTCCTGGTGCCGACGCCAAAGACGATGACAAAGAGTCGGCTCAGGTGGGCCAAGCCATCGAGACTGCAGAAGCGCCGATAGATGCAGCCTCCGCCGCCTCTCACACTTCCCCTGCACCAAGTCCCTTGACGTCGACCTCGTCTGCCCTGGCTCCCGCAGCAAATATCACAGCGCCTTTGGGACACGTTCGCCACGAGTCCATCATATCAAAAGCCTCGTCATCCTCTCTGCAAGGTGATGCATTCGATTCAGCTGCTCAGAGCCCGGACCCAGAGTATCGAGCCCTGCAGCCCGAGGCGAGCCAAGAGGAGACGCCGTTCCATTCGGTGGACTCGGACGCGGGAGGATTAGAGCTGGCAGGATCGACAAAGGATGGGCAGGCGCTGTCCAGACAGCCTTCCATCATTGGCTCAAATCACTCGCACTCTTCAGCTCGAAGCAGCACTTCTCATTTACCACTCGCGTCTCCAAGTGGTGCGACAACTCCAGCAGCTCATACACCAGGCTCCATCGCAACACCACCAGCACGGCCGCCGCGCAATCGACCTCCGCGCAATGCGGCTCGAACGCCTGGTGGACCAGTCACGCCATCCACAACCCTCAGCAACGAAGCAGCACATGGTGCGGCAACGCAGGACAGCAGAGCGACAAACACGTCCTACAGCGCGCTCGCCGTGTCTGAGTCAGACTCGTCCGGTGCAGCGCATGACGAGGCTTTAGGCTCTAGTGGTGATGCGAAATCGCCTGCAAGTAGGCGCAAGCCGCCTCCGCTTCGGTAGATGTGGCACCTGAATAGATCTTTGCGCGCTCACACATACTGAGAATCAACGACTTGGCGTCCATCGATGTTCCTTCAAAGGAGACGCTGCGACGGGCGATCGTGCGGTGCTGCTGATGAGGAAACGCGATGCAATCGAGCTCAGGTGTTGAGAAGCAGCACGTCGCTTGGCATGAAAGTCAGCTTTGCTGGGGCCTTGCGCTAGGTAATCGAACCCACTCTTACGCAGCAGTGCGCGAGCGATCGAGTGGTGAGTGCATAACCGCTGCTGGGATTGACTGCAGCGTATCCTTTGGGACACTCGAGTGAGGTGTCGCGCTGGCTATGCTCTAGGCGAAAGGTACACTACACGTACGCGGTCGAAAGTGACACGCGATGAAGCGTCGACGCCTGAGCCAGCATGCATCGTACAGGCGGACGGGGGCGGCAGGGCACGGGACAAAGACGTGCGCCAGCATCTTGCATTCAGCTTTGGGCGCAATCAAGAACAGCGGAGAGACCATCCCGATCGAGCAGGACATGTGGCAGCCGTGAGTGCGCATGGGCAGCACTATGCGCTCGCACGAGGTAAGGTCACGCATGCATGGGCACGATCGAGTGCCCCCACGTACGCTTCGCAATCTTGAATCACTTTCGACCTCGGCAAGGGCGAGGGCTGCATATATGCTGCAAGTGACAGCGATGAGACTATGGCTCCACTCTCGCCTCGACTGTGACTCCACTCACGCCTCGAGCCTGACTCGACACTCACACTCAGGACTGCGGTACGCCACGCCGCATCACTCAATTCCCTTGCAATGATTCACAACTCGTGCAAACTCATCCAGCGCGTACTCACGTCACGACCGCCCGCTGGACGCGAGTTTCTGCATCAGAGTAGACGTCATGTCATACATTGATGCGCCCGCGTACCCGTTGCTTTGCGCAGTCTCGCGGTGTAGGGGCGGCGTGGGCGGCGTAGACAGGCGCTTGATGGTCATTCTGTTGATGCAAACTGGGGCCCAGCATGACCGCCAGCATTTGCTTCACCAGCGCCATGTATGCGCATCGAGGCAGACGAGCGCGTGCTGCTGCTGGACCTCGATCAACGTGAGAGAGCATGTGTGCGGGTGATTCAGATTGCGATTGCTTCTGACCGCTGACGCTCGACGACCCGCACAGCAGCTCGTAGCAGTGTAGCACTCACACTCGCTACTCATGACCGCATATATGCTGGTCATCCAACTCGCCTCCCCCCGCACCGCCCGCCCATCTTGTAGCTGCTTCTTGGCCTCCCTCTTCCTCGCGCTTGACAGAGCTCAAGAAGCTCAGCTCACCGTCTGCGCACGCATGCTCACAGCACTTTGTCGACGCTCAGCAGAACTCCATGCTCTACACCTCGGAGCTCCGCACGGCTTGCCATCACCGAAATCGCCACACACACGCACACACACCCCTCTCTGCTTCTGGCTGCACCACCTGCTCCATGCACTTTGCTCGTCACCCTTCGCTGCACCACAAGCCGACGGCTTGTCGAACTGCCGGCAGCCCAACACCTCGTCGAAGTAGGGAGCGGGATGCAGCTCGATCGGATGATGAGACCCCTTCACCCATCACCTCTCCGTGGGAAGCATCCTCCAGCTTAGCTCACATCATGGCCACCAGCAGCGCAGCTTCCTACTTTGACCCGCGTCATGCACAGGCACAGGCACAGGCACAGGCACGCGGTGCAAGCTCCCTGCCGAGCAGTCGCACCGGTACGGCGCACACGTCTCCAGGAACACCAGATCGTCTGATCAACGCTGCGGCGCTCAGCTCGAGAGGCTTCGAAGACGGGGCGCACCAAGATGAAGCCTCTCCAACTCTTTCGAGGTGCGCCAAGATCAATGACTCTCCCATCCTTTCCCTCGACGCAGATGATGGCGATGCGCCCAGTCCTTCACAAAGCGACGATCGCTGCCGTGTCGTGGGCAGAAAGGTCGTCATCTTTGGCGCAACCTCTGCTCGTGGTTTTGCTGCCGTCAGTGGTCTACTGGTGCGTCTGCTCAAACCACACGCAACTGCTCGTGTCTGACTGACTGACGGTCTGACGATGCTGACCTGCAGGATGACAATGAGGCATACAAGGTGCGTTGCCCGCTCGCGAGGCGCGCGCTACTGAGCATACCCGACGCTTCTTGCACTGGCGTTTCCTTCTTTCTCAGAAAAAGCGTATAGAGAATGCCTACCAAGCGACTCGACGCAAGGCTATGCTCGCCGACCATGGTCTCACCGAGGAAGATGCTCACCTGCTGCCCGCCATGCTGCCGCTCTCCCCAAGCGTATTAGATCTCAGAGCAGCAGCACGTCCAGGGGCCTACGCTGAAGCGGAGCTGGACCAACAAGAGGCGCCTTCTCGGCCCGACGAAGATTTCCAAGAATCGGCACTCTCGGTCAAAGCTCCTGCTCTCTCTGCAAGTCAGTCATCCACATTGTCCACGCGGCGCTTCCGATCGGATGGCTTCGAGGCCGTAGATGAAGAGGAAGCGCGTCCGATGCTGCTCAATCCTTATGCGGCAGCTCCCTCCCTGCCTCTAGACTTGCGAAACTCCACGTCGCCCACGCACGGCCCTCTGTGCGGCGCTCATCGCAACAGCATCAGTGATCCGTCAGTGTCGAGTGGGCATCTGGACACCTTTGACAAGAATTGTCGAAGATGCGATGACCGCGGCACGATAGGCCCCACATCGACCCAGGCGCAAAGTGGCGCTCTCTTGGTCGACGACCGCTTCTCTGCCGAACTCATCAGCGCCATGCATACCAGGCTCAGTAGGTCCGGTGCAAGCATAGATCTGAGCCCGCGCTGGCACATTGTCGCTGTTACGCGCTCTTTGAATGGAAGAGCGGCCAATGAGCTCCGGGAGTTGGGCGTAGAGGTGGTGGAAGCGGACTTGCAAAAGCCTGAAAGCATCGCTGCCGTCCTCAAAGCTGCTTACGCGTGCTTCGTGAGTGGGGTCGATGCGAGGTGTCAATGCGTGGCTGCCCAAACGCTGAACCTGCTTCCTTCATCCACCATTCAGATTCCGCCATACTGCCTGTGAGCACGGCGCGATTGCCCCCTGATACAAAAACAATGCTGACGTCAATTCTCGTCCCCGTGCAGTTGGGGCTGGCCACTAGCGCCCCGCATGCTGGATGCATTGGACATGCCTGGCGGCCTCATCGATCAGCTCTGCACCGCAGAGTGCTCCGTCGAGGTTGTCATTTACGAGTGGGTTGGCGAAATTTCGGTAGAGCAAAAAGTCTTGCTGCGCGCTGACGAGACGCTACAGTGCGATCGAGACTATCCGTGCGGAATGTAGCCAGCCTCCGGCGTCAATTTTGAAGAGCAACGCCATCGATGTCAAGCTACGACAGGCGAACGCTGCTGGGCACCTCAAATGCGTGACGACGTTGGACAATGTGGTGCGTCAATGCTGATGACGTTTCGCGGACATTCTCAAAACGGCTGTTGACATTGCTCTTCGCGCCTACACAGGTACCGTGAGTGGGTTCACTATTGCGTAGAGAATGCACGACTCAGGCACACGTCGAGCCTCCGCAGCTTTGATCTGGCACTAGAAGGCGAGACGGCCCAAATCATTGTTCCCATCAGCGTGAGCACCTTCAAGTCGGCACCATATAAGTGCCCCTCCGCGAAACGGCTCACCGCGCTGCACCCCCCGCGCTCTACCTCGTGCCGTCGCCGCAGCGCGATGGTGGATTTTGGCTCGATGTTCTGGCTCCCACGGACTTGACGCTGCCGTTTTGCTGCATCGGAGATCTCAACTCGATCGTTCCACTCATCCTCAATTCGCCTCACGAAAAATTCAATCGTGAGCATTGGGGGGCGCATCGCGCGTCAAAAATATCGAAGCTGACATTGGCCTGGCCCTGCAGAACGCCACGTCGATCTGTGCTCGGATGTATTGACGCCGAGAGAGCTGACGCAGCAGCTGTGCCAGGCTCTGTACATTAGCTGCGTCAAGGTGCACGCCAAGGAGCACACGACGCAAGACTTTTACGAAATGCTCAAAGCTGGAGGAGATCGGAGAGAGGCTTGCGAGCTCATCAATTACTTTATGGATGCTCCAAGGAGTAGACGTCCAAGACGAGAGGTGAGGAGGGTGATGGAGTGTTCGGACCTGGCGCTCGCTCCGGCCAGTGCAAAGTACCGCTCATCGCCCGTCTCTCGCCTTTTGTGCAGCCCTCGAACTCGTCGACAGGATATCACTTGTCCACGTGGTTCGACTGGAGCTCGCCTAGACTAAAGGAAATATTGCCTGAATACGAGTTTCTCGATGTGAGTTTCGAGCCTTGCACTCCCTTCTGCTCCGCTCACTCATCGCACTGCCCGGCATCGCAGCACAAGACGAGGCCGGGGATGGGCACGTCTCAGGGAGATCACATCTTCTATCAGCAACCATTTTTTGCAGCTCAAGAGCACGTCGATTTCGACTTGATGCTGTCCGACAAAAATTCGCACGCAGATGCTCAGGGCAGTGCGTCGACTCCTGAAGCCGAAGAGCCAAAATGGGCTTCCAAGATTGCTTGGTAAGCGGCGACGATAGGCGCCCGCCGAGAGCGGGTCGCCCTGTCGCACATGTCCTCGCCTGCGCTGAAAGAAAGTCCCGACATGCTACATCTAAACCAATGACGATGTGATTGCTTGTTACATGTACGGGTCATGACAGGTCCACCTCCTCTTCATCTTCCCCTCTAGCTGGTGAATTCAGATTGACATCGCTGAAACCGGACGAAGAGCTAGTGGACGGCTCGAGTGCGTGCGCTTCCGTCGCCGCGGCGTGACGCCCTGTCGATCCCTCGTCTGTGCGTCGATCATCGAGAGGCTCAGCATTGTCGGCCAGAGGCAAGTCCTTTGGTGCGGGTGCCGGCGGGGTCTTGAGATCCTCCTCATTGAGCGCGTCACCATCCACCGTCCCTTGCTCTGCCACAGCGATGGGAGGCAGCGAGGCAGCTGCCAAGCTGGCGTCTATGTTGGGAATACCTCCAGGTGTCGTCACATCCGTGCTCGCCGTTTGTGGCGTTGCCGGTTCTGCTCTGGGCCCTTCCCGTGCTCCGTCTGCTAGCTCAGACGAAGCGCTCTGACTCTGCCTTCGACGTGAAATGGAGTCTCTGACAGCGTGACCATTCGGAGGCTCTTGGTCGAGGTAAAAGCTGGAGATGGGCACCATTCTGAAGAGAGAGAGAGAGGCCAACGGTGTTAGCTAGTATCGTCGCACACACACATACCCCACTCACCTCTTTTGCTCAGCGCAGGCAAAGATCCAATGCGGCTGCACCACCGGTATGCTGAGCTGCGTCGCTTTGAGGTACATGGTGCCGTGTGCAGGACCTGTCCTGCCCTCCGACGCTGCTCCCCTGTTCCTTGGGTCTGAGCAGACAAAGTGCGTCGTGTCGATGGCAATCTTTTCCGTCCACCTAGCGCCCATCACCTTGAGCTGCTCCTTGGCCGCTTCTTCGAGCTGCGAGTCCGCGACGTTTCCAAAGCATACGGCAATGCCGTGCGTGTCGGTCATCTTGTGCGTCTTGACCTTGACTGGCTGCGAAGCGTAGGTGCCTGCGGTGGTCTGCAAGACGAGGTGGAAGCCGTACTCTGCATCCACGTCCAGCCCGCTCAGTTTGGTGGAGGTGTTGTGAAGGGGATTGGGAATGGCTGCCAACCTGCGCGACATGGGCGTCCACCGATCTGATCTGTAAATGTCCAAGGAGAGCAGCGTAGCAGAGGCCAGCGACAGCTTGTCCCACTCCAACGTCACCGATGTCTGCGTCACATTGCGGATCCGCAGACGAGGAGCTGCGCGGGTGTATGCGTTGTGAAAACGTCAGCACACATGCGCTTGGACGCGCGCGCTTCCATCACATTCTGACTCACACTCTGGTGAGTGCAGACCAAAAGTGGAGAGAATGTCTTGCTGCAACTGATCAAAGTCGTCGTTGCGCTGCCTCTCCTCTTGCTTGTTCCTCTTTACGCTGATATTGACGATGGATCCGCTCGTGACATCGGGAGGCAGCAGCAAACTTGGGAATTCGATCAGACTGGCACGATCGCCGATCAAGATGGCCATGCCGGCATCTAGCTTGCCCACTGTGAACACGTAGCTGTCCGACATGCTGGTGGATGGAGCGTGGATGTTGACTGGCGCGATCTGCGTCACTTGATGCGAGGACGTCATGCACGCTGCTACTGCTCGAGCGCCGATGCGTGAATGAGCGCCGTTGTTGGTGAGCTTGAGGGATGGAGATGGTGGTGCGTATAAGTCGCAGTCGTGAGCATGCTGGCAGCGAGGAGACGAGAGTCACGAGTCGAGGCAAGAAAGGTGATGGCATCAATGTGAATGCATGCACGCACGACTTGCTTGCTCGATCCAGAGCGGGGGGTGTGGTTGACGACACGTGATCTTCTCCGCGCGCACGGTTGCGCGCTGGCACGCGCGGTGCATGGCCCTTACCGTGGCTTCCGCGCGCGCACATCCAGCGCCATCATATGAGCACGCACACGGAGCGCAGGAGCGGCGTGCATCATAAGAAGAAATGCTGCTGCTGCTGCTGCTGCATGCTCGTGCGCTGATCGCTGATCGCGCGGTATCGCGCGTCGGTCGGTGCAGCCGCGAGGCCGTGTATTGTCCAGCAGGGGCGGGCGTGTACCGGTACAGGTACAGCAGCGTCAAAGATTTGACAGATAGGCGGGCGCCGCGCTCCTCCTTGATTGCTCACCTGGCTTGGCTCTTCAGCACTCCATCACCGCACAGTCACGATCCAGCGCAGGTGTTGCTTCCCTTGTCACTTTTGCTCCACCACACTGACACAGCTATCGCACGGCTCGGCTTCGCTCACAATTCCTCACAATGATTGCAGCTCCAATTCGAAGTGGCAGCAGCGGCACGATGCTGCGCGCTGGCGCTGGCGCTGTCGCTGTCGCTACCTCCCGCAACGCCATCTCAGCCGCACAGCCAGTCTGTGCTGTGCGCACAGCTCCGCGATCGGCATGGCAGACCTCTTCGCGCTGCATGGCCACCATGCCCCTCACCTCTGCTCCTACATCCGCCTTTGCAAAGGAGCCCGTCAATGGCAAGTACACTGTCAGCTTCATTCGAGGTGACGGCATCGGCATCGAGATCTCGGAAGCTGTGGATGACATCTACAAGGCTGCTGGTGTACCCATCATCTGGGAAAATGTCAGCGTAGCGCCGTACATCAACAAGCAAGGAAAGCAGAGCATCCCAGACGAGGCCATCGAGAGCATCAGAAAGAACACTGTCGCTTTGAAAGGTGAGTCAGTCGCCTTTGCAGTGAGGCGTGCGCCCGTGCACACGCACACGCACACGCACACGCACTCACCCTGGCTCTCGTTTCTCTCTCTCTCTCCTCGCAGGGCCCCTGGCCACTCCCATCGGCAAAGGTCACGTCTCCCTGAACTTGACTCTGCGCCGAACCTTTTCCCTTTTTGCCAATGTCAGACCTTGCAAGTCTCTGGAAGGCTACAAGACGCCATACGACAACGTGGACACGGTGCTGATCAGAGAGAATACGGAGGGAGAGTACTCGGGCATCGAGCACGAGGTGGTGGATGGTGTTGTGCAAAGCATCAAGCTCATCACTCTCGAGGCTAGCGAGCGCGTAGCGAGGTACGCCTTTCATCACGCAGAGCAAAACAAGAGGAACCGTGTCACCGCGGTCCACAAGGCCAACATCATGTAAGTGCGAGCGAGGGCGGCAATCAGGTCGCAGGCGTCATTCGAGGGGCGCACTGCGAAAATGAGGGGCTCACCTTTTCTGCCCCTTGATGGCACACGCGCAGGAAAATGTCGGACGGAATGTTCCTGCACGCTTGCCGTCAAGTGGCCAAGGAGTACCCGAACATCCAATATGACGAGGATCTCCTGGACAGAGCCTGCTTGCGTATCGTGCAAGATCCTGCTCCTTATGCTGATCGGGTGATGGTGATGCCCAATCTGTATGGAGACATCTTGTCCGACATGTGCGCCGGCCTGATCGGTGGTCTGGGTCTCACACCTTCTGGAAACATTGGAAAGGACGCTTCCATCTTTGAAGCTGTGCATGGCTCCGGTCCTGATATCGCTGGTCAGAACAAGGCCAACCCAACCGCGTTGCTCCTCTCTTCGTGAGTTTGCGCCGCTGGTGCATCGCCCGCCCGAACGCACACACTGACTCGCCTGATCGCATTCCCTTTTGCTCTCTTCGCACATCCCACACAGGATCATGAGTGAGCCATCTTGAGACAGCCTATACGATGTCGCGCAAGCTCAGCAGCTGACGCATCCCGCCTCTCGCTCTGCAGTGCTCCGTCATATGCGTCTCTTTGAGCACGCAGACAAGATCGAGAGCGCCATCTTTAGAGCCATCGCAGAGGGCGACCGTGAGTTTGCGCCGCTGGTGCCACCGCCGCCCGAACGCACACTGATTCGCCTGGGCGATGTATTCCCTTTGCGAAACAGGAACGGGAGACCTGGGCGGCAAGTTGGGCACTCGCGAATTCACAAAGGCTGTCATCAAGCGCCTGTGAGAGTGGTGCTATCAGTGCGCCGCTCTCTTATCTTTGGCGCATGTATTTGCTCAGGGACAGCATACATGCCGCGCAAATACAATAGATGCACACTTTCTCACTTGGGAGCAGAAACAGTATGAGCGCTTGTCCCGCAGCTCAACATTCAGGCGGGGGACCGAGAATTGTACAGCAAGGATGCAGAGGAGCTGTTCGAACTGGGTGTCCCAGTCGAGGCGTCAAGTCAAGACTTTGGCGCGCTTCTGGTGGCTCACCTCTCGGCCATACGTGCGCGAGATGGGTGCGAGCGTTGCGTGCAAGGCATGCTGAACGAGCTCTGCCGCTGACTCCTTTGGCCCTGAGAGGCGGCGATCTTGAGGAGCTCAATGTCGAGATTGGATAGGATGACGCTATGGCATCAGTGCGATGACATCTTTCGCCGAATGGACGATCTCTGCGCCGTACTGGCTCATCTCCCTCAAAGCTTGCTGGCAATCTTGCTCATCCACACCTCTTGTCGCTTGCCTAACGACGACGGGCTTGAGGCCAAATTTGGCAGCGTCTATCGTAGTCGCCTTGACGCAGTAGTCCGTCGCTAATCCCACCACCACCACTCGTGTGATGCGATTCTCAAAGAGCAGACGAGGAAGCTCGGTGAAGGAGAGATACGCGTTGTCGCTTGCGTGTGAGGGTGACGGGTGTGTATGTCAGTGCTGGCCACGGGAGCGGAAGAGGGAAACAAGGGGAGGGGGGAAGCAGCAGTGTGCGTGAGGGGGAAAACAGCACTCGATTGCCCACTCACGCAAACCCAGAATAGCCGTCCACTTTGATGTTTGTGCCCTGCGATCGAGGTCCACATCAGCAGAGGTTGCAAGGACAGCGCGCGCGCATACCATCACCTGCCTGCCTGCCTGCCTGCCTGCCTGCCTGCCTGCTTGTGTGCACGGCCCGTCTCACCTTTGATATGATGTGAGCATCCGCGCGTCGCTTCAGAGCTTGCTGGATGCGAGGATGAAATTGGAAGCCCATTGTGTCGCGCACACAGTGATCAGGCCAGAGCATCTGCTCAATGTGCTCATTTGGCAAGTAAGGATGCGGGACATTGTGCCTTGTGAAAGGTTGCTTGCAGTGCGTCGAGGCAAAGGAGAGGTGCGCAGGCGGATGCGTATCTTGCGTCGCTGCTACCAGTCTGATTCGAGGCGCATTCAACAGCTCGTCGATGGGATCGAGAATGGTTGATGCTTGCGATACCTGCACTGCCGATGGTATGTAGGCAGCTCGTCCAGCAAAAGTCAGACCAGACCGCCTCCATGACCGCGGCCAAGATTCTAGATTCACTCACGTGCACCTCCTTCCATAAAGTCATTCTATACACGTGCACAGCAGCAGCAGCAGCAGCAGCAGCAGCAGCAGCAGGGAATCATGCAGGCAGCTCTTGCAAGTCAGTCGAGTCGGGAGTCTTCAAGTAATATTCGGGCTGAGTCGGACGGGCAGGACACGCACCTGAACATCGACGATGATCAGTGCCCAATTCTCATGCCCGCCAGCCATCATCGCGTGGTGTGCAAAGGAATTGAATGAAAAGAGCAGCTAATCTTTACGTCCCCGCGGCTCTTGTTGTTGTGAATGGTGATGAGTGCTTCGAGCAGATGCTACTCCGTCTTCACGCTGTACATGTGTCACCGGCGTATGGTCTTCTTTTGATGTCTGCGCCCAATTGTAGGCTGCTTTGTTGCCTCCGCCTCCTCTGGCCGTTCTTATTTCACCCTTCAATGGTGGTCATGGTCAATGAAGCGCTCTGCAGCGTGAGCGTACGTGCGCCGGTGTGGAGGGAGGTCTGCTGTTGAATTTGCGTGCAGACAAGGAACATTCAAGGTTCCTTTACGTCGCTTTTGAATGTACGTGCAGGGCGGATTTGATGTTTGAGTCTACTCAGCTAAGTCGCTGCGCCGTGCATGACCAGGGCGCAGCTGCGGGCAACAGCCTGTCTAAATGATCACATGCAGGAATTATTAATCCAGCATGCATACAGAAAGGGGCGTCGATTTTGAATTTGTGCGTCACAGCACGTTGGAAGAGGTGCATGAGCGCGTGTTGAAGCGCAGCAGCGAGCCACCAGCAGTAGAGCTGATGCTGGTGCCATGTAGTGATTTTCATGGCACAGCATGGCGCGTACGACACGCGGCAGCACGCATCAGGCGCGCGCACAGAGGGGAGCAAGAAGGGCAGGCATGCATGCATCAGGGCTCGTTCATGCGCACAGCTGATGCGTGACTGTAAAAGCGCCTCGCCTCGCCTCGCCTCGCCGCGCGCATATCCTTGCGGCGCGGACGGATGATGCGCTCGCTGACTGGATGACTCTCTGCTATGATGCAGGCAGGCACATGCTAGCTGAGCGTGTGCGTGGTATCGTCTTCCCAAGCCCAGCAGCTGGAGTCGTGAGTCGTGAGTCGTGAGTTGTGGTGGATGGGCATCTCGTGGCGCGCCGAAGAGCCGATCCAAGCAAACGCGCGCGTATGCGATCCGAGCGACGGTCAAACGCTTCGATCAGGCAGGCAGGCAGGCAGGGAGGGGGCTGTGATTGTGTGTGATAGGCAACAGCAGCGCGCAGGAATCAAAAGGTCCGAGGGAGAGAACTTCGCATCGCACTCGAGCACGTCTGACAGTCACACGCTTGCTTCCAAACCCTCGCTACAAGACTCGCCCTCGCAAGTCCAACACGACACAGTGACCATTTCGATTCGCCATTCAGCTCAGCTCCTCGTCATCGAGAAGAGTGCCCGTCTTAGACGCAGGAAACGTGGACTGCCTCCTCACTTCGTCCTCTACTCTGTCCCTTCACCTCATTGCCTCGCATCCGACTGGACACGAACACTGCTGCTGCTCTTCCGGTGTACACCCTCAGCTGACTCGTCAACAGTGCTGCCGAAGCGCCCACGAGGCACGACGCTGAGCAGCTTCACTGCCCGCATTTTGGCGACTTTCATCTGCGCACGTCCAAGGTCTCACTGCACCTCGTGCACGCCTCCAGCTTCTCATACCCGACCACCGGAGCCCCACTGGCAGAGGCTCTCAGCTGGTACTCTCGCGGGAGCGCTCGTTCGCTACAAATGTTCCGAACCAAATCCAACTCTTCCTTGGCATCCAAAGCCTCCAGGCTCAGCAAAAAGGAGCTCAAGATGATGCACGCTCAGGACCACCTGTCTGGAAGACCTGGCCACCTCGACCCTGGACAACAGCACCAGCTGAAGAAGTTTAGGCAAATCGTGCGTATCTTGCATGCGTGCGCACATTGCAGGCTGGCTGGTGCGGTGCGAGGAGTTGCGCAAAACCCCGGCTGGCTTTGGGGTGATTGCTTGAACAGCGCTCATAGAGGATTCGGTCGCGCGCTGGCTGCTGAGAAGCGCAAGACGTAGCAACGTGACGCGGCATGAATGCGTAGTCAACTCTCGGAACGCTGTATGCTGACAAGCACTCTATGCCCGACCTCCTGCTGCCGCAGATCGAGGAGAAGGGCTTGTACGACCCACTTCGACACGACGAGGCTTGCAGTAAGTCTTGCCTTTCGCGTCCCTCTACGCACGCACCCCTCTGATGTCTCTTGCCACCCTGCACTCCTTCAATGCTCCAGTGTGCCGCTTCCTGCGAGCGCGCAAATGGGATCTGAACGCAGCATTGGAGATGTTCGAAGCGGCGGAAAAGTGGAGAAAGGAGTTCAAAGTGGATGAGCTGTACCACCAATTCGAGTACCCCGAAAAGCAAGAGGTGGACAAATACTACCCGCAATTCTATCACAAGACGGACAATGTGAGTGCGATTGCTGGTCGGACACTTCGGTCAGGGGTTGGCTTGTATGCGGGCTGTTTGGGCTCTCCAGGGGCGGTGTGGAGCACATGGCGAATTTGGTGGCAAGTCCAAGCGCATACCAAATCAAGTGCCGGGAAGGTATGCTCTTCACAACCTCTCGCGCACAGACGCTGCAAAAAGCAGAGTCTGCTAAAGTTTGGGGACTGCGCACAGCGCGCGTCATGGAGCGCTCTCCATGAAGTGTCATATTCATCTGGCAGCCCTCTGATCATTCCATCTTGTCATGCAGGACGGGCGACCAATCTACATTGAGCAGCTTGGAAAATTGGACCTTAGGGCGTTGTACCAGGTGTGAGTCATGCGTCGAGTCAGGCGATGTGCAAACTCCAGTTGACCCTGTCCGCCTTCATGTTTGGGGCGAACAAAGGACCACGCCCGAGAGGCAATTGCAGAAGCTCGTTGTGGAGTACGAAAAGTTTCAACGCGAGAGATTGCCGGTGGTGTCCAAAGAAAGAGGAGAGCTCGTCGAGACGAGCTGCACGATCATGGACCTCAAGAATGTGGGCGTGGGTCAATTCTGGAAGGTGCGTCGCGGGAGGGCTGCGTTACGCGCATACGGGCGTGCTCATGATAATCATCGCCCCCCTCCCCGCCCAGGTCTCCACTTACGTGCAGCAAGCTAGCAACATCGGCCAGCACTACTACCCAGAGACGATGGGCAAGTTCTACATCATTGTGGGTAGCAGAGACGTACGCGCAGAGCTTGGACAAATCGCTAATTCTGTCTGCTCGCCTTTACAGAATGCGCCCTACATCTTCACCACCGTTTGGTCCGTGGTGAAAGGCTGGTTGGATCCGGTGACAGTCGAAAAGATTAGAATTCTTGGCAGTGGATACGAAAAGGAGTTGACGGAGCAGGTGAGTGCACGCACGCACGCACGCAGGTAATGGGGGCGTTGCGAAACGGCGAATCACGCTGTTCTAAATCCTCTGCTGCTCTTGCACAGATCCCGCCCGAAAACCTGCCTGCTAGCCTCGGAGGCACGTGCAACTGCTCCGAAGGATGCAGCTTGTCGGATGCGGGACCTTGGAACACGGAAGAAGGAAAGCGCATCCTTCAAGAAGTCAGAGCGGACAAGGACAAGGAGGTCAAAGCTGCGGCTAAGTAGATGTCCATGCGGTGCGACGCGTTCCAAGCTCAACGGATCGATGCGACGAGAATTCGATGCCACATTGGTCGACGTTGCGGCACAAGGGCCTGCACGCCGATCTTGGAGCCAAATCAACCCACCTTGGCAGATCAAAGAGGTATTCACATCACGCAGCACGCCGCGTACTCGTCTCGTACTTGCTTTCCCTTTTGTCGACATACACTCTTTTCTTCGTTTGTAAATGCTCGATACAAAGTACAGATACATACTTGTGCGCCAATATGCTGTCGTGCGACACCACTTTAGATTCTCGGCGAGGGTGCGGATGTACGAGG